AATAGACAACTTTTGATTCAGGAAATGCTAGTAAAGCTTCGTACTCTTCTAGCGTGGGTGGCATATCCATACTCCTAAAAGTGAAATAATGGTATTTTGGATCCCAATGCCCTATCATGGCTTAAAACCACCGGATCCGAACTTTAATCTTAAGCAACTAAGCTATGTCACTATATATCTTCTAGAACTCAAACATGTTAGTAGGAGTAAGCATTTTCCAATAACAAAGTAGCGAACTTCACATTAGTTAGCTTGTCGGCAAGTTTTGCTTTCTCCGGTAGTTTTGACATGAAGCTTTAGGGCAAATAATCTCCCTTATCAATTTAGGCTCGCTCCGATCTAACCTTAAAATTCTTAGTATCATTTTGTGTTTCTTCTATCATGATTTAAATATGAAGGACATCCCGTAAAAATTGAGGGTTAGTATCTACACTATTTGAAAATGATTTGTGTCTTAATCGAGTCAACCCTAGTAGACAAGATCTAGCTTCTTTATGGTTGAGCGAAGCTTGTCTAGTCCTAAAGTTTTTTCAAGTTTTTGGACTTGTCTAAATTACGAGTAGAATAATCCAATCTCTAATCTTATGCGTCAAGAGGTAGGGAAGGTTATTCCACCATTTCCTATGCATAAGGTGAGTTTCTGTCCAAACAATAGTACGAAAGAGCATCAATAGATTTTCATCATACATGCCTCTAGAACTCTCTATCTAATCTTAACAGGATTTAGCTTGGATCTAGAGCTTCTACAAGTTCCCTTGTGGTGTGTGCAATAGTTCAAAATAGATATCTAACCTAGTTCAAATAAATATACACTAAGAAAATAAATTATGAAAATTTAAAATATTTATAGTAACTAAACAAAATAAATGACTTTGAAAAAATATATATATATATAGGAAATAAAATTGAGGAAAATAAATGACTTGAAGAAAAAAACATAACATAGATAAATTCAAAAGACTAAAACTATGGCCTAACTCTAGGTATCCTCAATGGAGTCGTCATTTTGTTGTTACATGACATTGGATGGGATTCTCGAAAATGATCTATTTTAATTATGATTCGTATAATTATTTATAAGTTTGGAGTCCTCATATAGTATTGAAGGAACTAGGAACCTAAAATGGACAATTGTTCGGAGATTATATGGTAAAGAGTTGGTTATACTTTTGAAAAAATATTTAATCACCCAAAAGCGTCATTTCGAAGAAATGTATTATGTTTGGCTTAGTCCTATATTCATCTCCTAAAGTGTTTGATTTGTGCCAAATTGTTTTTCGATTTAAAACTCAAAATTTTCCTAGCCAAATTAAGTTTTTTTTTTTTTTAGTTTTGAGAATGGTATCATATTGAAATGATTGTCGGACCCCTTTCATTGAGAGACACGTCAATTCAAACATTGGATCCACGTTTTAAGTCCGAACACAACCGATGTATGAAAAAAACATCCCGATTGTTTGAATGTTGATGATATTTTTTTAATTAACAACGAGTCCCTATCGGATAAGAGACTTTGTTAAGAATTTTATTTTTTTCATTTTCTTATCATTTTTTTTTTTGTTAATGACAAAACCTATGAGATAGGAGACCTAGTAAGAAATTTTAGTTAATATGTTTTTTGATGGAAACAAACGGTCATCAATCCCTAAAAAAATAGGAGACTTGACAATTATTCACCTATTGATTATCAAATTTAATTACTAAACAAATAAATTAAAGTTAACATTAAGTAAGTAAATTAAAGGAAATTCAACTAATGCTCTATATTAATAACAAAACATGTTTAAAATAAATAAAGATTAAAATTACATTAATTACATTAAATTAAAAAATTAAATTCTAAATTAAATATAAACTAACAAACATGAAATAAATTTAAGACTAAAACTATATTAATTAGAATGATTAAAGACAATTAAACATCTAAATTAAATATGGAATGATAAACATTCATAAAATTTAAATTCTAGTCAAACATTTTATTATTTTTTGTTTTTGGTTCAAATTTTCCCTTTTCCCCTTCTTTTTGTTTAATTCTTTCTTCCTCTTTCTATTTCTTCACCCTTTTATTTTCTATATAATTTTATTTTTTATTTTTTTGGGAGAGGTCGGACTAATTCCAGTCAAGCCTCATTTTTTTTTGTTTCGTTTTGTTTTGTAGTTGGGGGAAAAGGGTAGCCTCTTTCTTCTTCTTTTTTCCTTTAGGAGAAGTCTGGACTGATTACGATCTAGCCTCTTTCATTTTTTTAATATTTTTTATGGGCGAAAAGGGTTGGGCTAGACTAAAACCAGATCCGGCCTTTATTTAGCATGGGTTGGGTTTGACCCAACCCGTGCTTCTTCTTCTTCTTCTTTACTCTAGACTAGGTTAAAGTCCAAAAACAAGCCTAACAATAAATTTCTTTTCATTTTTGATCAAGCACTCCTTTAAAGCCTCTCTCTCTCTCTCTCTCTCTCATTTTTCATGTTCTTCATTTTCTCTCTCTATTCATCATTTTTTTTCGAGAATCAAACCATCATTCCGAACAAATGAATTAAACTAATTACACCATGTTCATACTTCTATCCCAATCAAAATCACAACCTAAAGCTTAAAGAAGTAACAAACGAAAAGTTAAAATGACGAAGCAATGTAATCAAAGCTGGAAAAGCCGGGAGCCGACCTAGGAAACGACCGAAGAATACCAAGAACGAGTCTAGAAAACCCGGGAACCAAAAGTGTAGAATCCTCACAAATTTTCCAACTTTTACTCTTGATTTCTCCTTTTCTTCATTAGGGAAACAAAATTTATCCTCAAAATAGAATTAAAACCCCTTCGATTGACCTAGGGAATGAAGAACACAAACCCGTAAATGAAGAACACATAGAACACGCTACCCAAAAAATTTGGGTGGAAAACCCTAGAAAACTTCAATTGAACCCAAAAATTAGAAACTCAAGTTGAAAAACTAATGAAACTTAACTCAAAGCCCAGAAAATCCAAAAAACTAAGTTTAATAACCCCAAAAGTGAAGAGCACCCGCCTAGAAAATGAAGAACACTAAACTAAAACCTAGAAATGCAAAATTGATAAATTAGAACACTTTTGAATTTCAATCTTTTTTTTTCTTGCTTTTTCGCTCTCTCTTTGAGTCTCAATTTTTTCAAACCTTGAAATCATTTTTCCTCCCCTATTTATAAGTTAAATTCGAGCATTGATCATTAGGGGAGCTATCGCAAACCGGCAACATAGGTTTCGTAAATTACGAGCATGGGTTGTTGCGAATTGGGTAGTAGAAAAATGGGGATTTGAAGGTGGAGTGTACAAGGGAATAATATTATCAGTGGAGTATGGGTAGAAAAATGCAAAAAAAAAAAACCCAAATTAAATTGGTCTTGCCATTCACCTCCAACTTTCAATTTGGTCCCTTTGAGCTTTCATTATTTGCAATCATGCCCTTTTAGTATGTGACTTCGATCTTTGTAAACTGAAATTTTATCAATTAGGCTATTTTGTTATATAATTTTAGTCCTTGTAAAACACAATTTTATCTATTGAGCTATCAATTACTTCAATTACACTTTCGTTTAATTTGATTGCATCATTAGATGTAAAATTTCATAACTTTTTATATTTTATATTTTTTTCATATATATTTTTTGTATTATTATTTTGTAAATTCCTAAGAATAAAACAACATGACTAAACATTAAAATTTTAAAAAAATGACATTTTTTTTTGTTATGACGAGTCGACTCTAGCAACGAGTTCAATATCAACCCCACTCTTACTCTTGTAACGACCAATCATGCATAAGTAATTCTCCAAATCAATCTACTTAGATCTCACGTTTCCCTCATGGTTCATCTTAGCTTGTATGGCATTCCGGAACCCGTGGCATAAGCTCCTCCCCATCTCGCTCCATACGTCTAAGCTTCACATGGCCCTCTACTAACTCATCTTCAATCCGCAACTTCTATGAGATTCCCGGACATCTCACTACCGATTATTGAAAATTGGCAAGGTTTCTCAAAATAAATAATATTATTTTTGGCTCCACTTATCATACTCCTTCCTCTACACCTACGGCCAATATGGCCTCTATTGGTCCTATTGTAGCTCAACCTTAGCTATTTGAATTCGGAGCCTCGCATCATATCATTAGCAATGTGAAAACTTTGACCACCTATTCGGACTATTGTTGTTCGGATGAGATCAGCATTGGCGATGGTACATGCTTAAAAATTTCCTCCATACCCACCACCACTCTTAATCACTAAAATCAATGCTTCCTCTTAGACAATATCTTATGCGCTCCTTCTATTAAAGCAAGTTTAATCTTTATTTCCAAATTTGTAAGGCTAATAGTGTCCCACTTGAATTTTTTCCATTTTATTTTCATGTGAAGGTTCTATGCATGGGGGCACCTCTACTTCGTATGGAGAACATCAATTATGTCTATTACCTACCTCTTACGGTCCGTCCACAAACTCATCGTACTACCACATCTTCCTTGGTTGCATGGCATCCATGCCTTGGTCATCTAACAATGCCAATTCTCCGCTCTTCTCTTAGTGCTAGCTCTTGAAGCTTATGTTCCTACTTATCATCCAAATTTCATTGTACTTCTTGCGCTTTGAATAAAAGTCATTACCTTCCTTTTTCAAAAAAAAATTCTCCATAGCTCTCAACCACTTGAACTTTTCTATTCTGCTATTTGGGGTTTGAATGAATTATCCATTAATCGGTCTAGATATTATTTAAATTTTGTTGATCATTATGGTAAATACATCTAGTTCTACCTTATACAAACAATGGTGGTGAATATATTGCCCTTGCATCCATTGTCAATGCCCATGACATTTCTAACTTTAAAACACCTCTTTACACTCCCGAACATAATGGTACCTTTAAAAGAAGACATAACTATATCATGGAGATAGGTATTGCTCCGCTTCACACTACCTTTTTACCATATTCTTATTGGTCTTTTTACTTTTTAAACGTTTTTTTATTTGATTAATCATCTTCCAACTCTGGTCCTCCAACTTTAGTCTCCATATCAGCTTTTCTTTCATCGCATTCCAAACTATTCCCATCTAAGAATCTTTGATGTTTGTATTATCCCTAGCTCCATCCTTATACAACCTCCAAACTCCAACCACGATCAATAACTTGTATTTTTATAGGATATTCATTAATTCAACCAACCTATAAGTGCTTTGATCGACTCGTAAAAAACTTCTACATCTCGAGACATGTCCAATTTGTCAAACACATCTTTCCCATGCAAAAGAATCCACAATAGCTTCAGTCTCCCTTGCAAGTACGAGCCCATTCATGGTGTATCCCACTATAAGTCACCCTTCCTCTCGTTAATTCATACTTTAAGTCCTTTGTTTTAACTCCTCTTGAACATGCGGAACAAATTTATTCCTCATCCAATTTTTATTTAAAGTCTCTTAGCCATCATATACACCAACCTAATCCAACATCCGCCATACGACCTACCCAGCTTGCCTCTCCCGGACTCGATCTTACCAATCCTAGCCTATTACCCTAGCTCTTAGTCCAACCTAAGCCCCATAGCATCATCACAATAGCTTACTCCAAATGAATTAAGCACTCATCTATCCCATTTCTCTTCACAGACCCCACCCTTCCATCCTCATCGAAAACCATACCAATACCGTCACACCAACTATCTCCATCACTCGTCTTTTTTCTTATTGATATTTGTGCCTTGACCACTCTAACCTCACCAAACCTTTCAGCCCAACCCACTCATCAACTAAGATCTCGCTCATGCTAAAAAACCCAATCCTAAATACTTTAACTCACACTTTATCAATCATACCACAATACGTTCCATGCTCACTCTCCTAGAACCCAAAACCTACTCATCTCGCCATATCTAATCCTAAACCGCGTGGAACCATGTATGAAGAATTTAATTCCTTGAAGCGAAGAGACAATGTTAGAGCACATATCTCACATTGAATAATTAAACTAAAGATGATTAATATATAAGGTTGAGAGTGGACCACCGACCATAAGGTTTAAGTTTTTTGGATAAAACCAAATCTCAACTATCTAACTCTATATGGTATCGAGCTTTAAAGAGGTCATTAGATGCTAGAGCCCAAGCCACTTGATAGATCCCAAAAGATGGGCTACAAATGAGGGGGAGAGTTAAAGCACATATCCCATATAGAATAATTAAACCAAAGATGATTAATATCTAAGATTGAAAAGAGATCATCTTCTATAACGCTTAAGTCTTATAGATAGAACCTAATCTCAACTATCTAACTTTATATGATATCAAAGATGAGAACCAATGCACCATGCATTTAAATTAAAGTTGAACAAGACAACGATGGAAGAGGGAACGTACGAATAACAAAAATGTAGATCAAACTAGAATACAATAAGAAAAATGAATATGTCCTTCCATGGAAAGGCAAGAATTAAGAGTGCAGTACAGCTGATCATCTTGGTTTCGAGGGACCATAGGAAAATGAAAATGCAAATCAGCGTCCAATGGAGTTGATTATAACTTAGCGGCTGTAGTTTGTTGAGGAAAATAATTTAATCCCTATAATATCAAAAATAATTAAATAACTCATTCATTAGTGTTGACCGTCAAGCATGCTTAATTTATTAGTTGTTTTTTTCAAAGAAGATAACTCCTTTTTCTCAATAATTCTTCTCCTTTTATCTCTTACTTTTTTCCCTTTTATATTTCTTAGTAGAAAGAAGACAAAATAAATTGGATCATGACATAGATAGAAATGAATAGGTTTAAAAATATAAAGATTGAACATGTAATTTATAAAATCAGGATTGATCAGTTATTTTAGAAAACTACAAAGTCTAATTTATAATTAACTCGTGTTCAATGCATTCTTAAGAAAATCAGTGTCCAATATCTGATGGTAGGAGGAAAAATTTTTTTTTTGAAAATCAGTATGGAAAGCTCACGTCAATTTGAGATTTCTTTATTAAATGTCGGTCATAGTTTTGTGGAAAAGAAATACTCTAGTGGAAATCGAAAGGTACCAAATTCGATTTAGAAATGTAGATTAAAGATTTCCAATATATATATATATATATATTCGCAGACATAGATAGATACAGAACTGATCCAGAGACTAATTACGAAAAACAGGTTAGTGGCAAAAGCTTAATGGAAGTATCATATATTAATATATATCCAGAAGATTTTTCACACTACCTGGTAACAGAGATTAATTTTTAGGTCATTCCATTAGCTAGCTAATAAGCAAAGCCAGACTCCAGAGAAGCGTTGGCACGCAACAATCGAAGTGGCAGATTCAATGTGAAACTTAAAACAAACTAATAGTTGAAAGCTATTAATTGATCTCGACACTCCAACAACTGTAATCACAATTACGCATACGACAAACCATAGTAATTGCAAACAAACTAACAAACTAATAAACTAAAACAAATAACTTAGCAAGAGCAGAAACCCACTTCCAGTGATCTTGAATATTATGAATGGCGGATACCTATTATTCTTCATTTCTTCTTCAAACTATATGTGCCACTCGCATCCGCAAATACTGAAGGATTCTTCTTCGTGCTTTGCTTCATCATGCATTCTCTGGCAATAAAACAAGCAGAACTGAAAGAGTGAGGACTTTATGTTTAGAAAATCAAACAAAAAATTGCTTACAACATATATACCTCTGCAGCACATAAAAACTTGGTTGAATTGTCTATTAATAACAATTAATATGTTCTAAGATCAGAGGGCATATATAGAACCAGGGGAGATAGGGGCACTGACAATCAACTAAGTTTGCAGGATGGGGATGATTTAAGCTTATTCGATTTGTTGTTTTGAAATTGATTCTATGGGGTTGAAAGTTCATGGTCAGTACATCGACTATTCAAAAGATGGTACTAACAGTTGAACATTTTTCCTTGTTCGTCAATTTGGTGTCAGGCGATTATAAACGTGTTCGCAAACTGACGTGGAGTGTTTTCTTTACTTGGAAATCAAACATCTCTGATATGAGACATGATGTACTGGGGTGGCCATTCCAACGGTAAATTCTGCTTGTTCTGCATACGAAACAAATGCTTGTGTAAACAAATCTTTGCTTATATATTCCCGCTATTTTCACAGCCTCAATTCCCCTCTTCGCAGGCCACTTTTCTGATCTCTTCTGATGCTTGGGAATTGCAATGCAATAGGTTGCTTAATAGAAAGTAATACCCTGATAGTTCAAATCTAGACCATTTGACATGAAACTCATCTAACATCGGGTGCAAATGCTAGGACGTAGGAGGATTAGTCCGTGCTAAGAAGCCTAGAAAAGTAATACCCTGATCGAATTCTCAAAATTAGCTCTGAAGCCATTTGTGTTTCCGACACAAAGATATACATGTAAACTTAAAGGGACCAAGAAAATTTTAATTTCAAACTCTGCACCAATCAGCAATCCATTCATCCATGCATTCAACCAGTAAAATTCCATAAGGATTTTGTGTAACAAAACTAAAGAAGATTTAGGGGAAACTAACCGAAGAGACTGAGTAAGTTTAGAAGCTTCATGAAAATTGTTCTCGTCTCGTGCTTTCAAAATTTTCAACATAAGATTGAGGCGCTGCTGATTGCTTGCAGCTTGTTGCCATATCAGGAACGTTTCCCTTTTGAGTTGATCACATTCAAACTCAATCTCGTTAAACTTCTCTCTGATTTCCTTTTGCGCTTCTCTATTACGGTTCTGTTGTTCAACAATCTCTACCATCTCAGCTTTTAACCTTTCCACACTGGCTTTTGTTTTTCTTCTTTTTTCCTTTTCTGTACACATTTCTTTTTTTAAAAAAAACATAATTTTAGATTCACATTATAACAAATCATAATCATAAAATTAACACGTATGAAAGTACCCTTTGGTCAATTTAGCAACTAAAGTAGAACTGCTAAACCTTCTTTACGTGTCATCGAAACGAAAAACGATGAAAGTAAAGATATACAGAAGCTACTTTAGAATTGCTACCTGTTCATGTAGGGACAAAGTTGATATTTCCTAATCATGAAGAGAGACAATAAATAAATAAATAAATGACTTTATTATTATGTTCCTACCAAGTATTATTTCCTATTCCTATAAAAAAAAGTTGCGAGGAAGAAGAACAAGTCGCTATATATGCTCTTTATCTTTAAAAATGCTTAACAACTTTCATAAGTTCTATCTTTGAGCTTATTCTAAATTCAAAATTTTTTAATATATGCCATTCTTCATCCAGTTGAACGAGGATGCGCACAAGTCACCAAAAGGATGATGGCATACTTTTGCAAAAGTTCTTTGGGTGAATTTACAGTAGCAGCATGCAATATTCTTATTTTTTTCTATATAATATTCATATGATAAGTTATATTCTATTTCAATAGATGAAAACAATTAGAAAGTCTATCAAAACTGGACCGTTTATTCCTAAATAATTTAAAATACAAAGAGTGTGTTTGCTTAGACCCACAATGACATTTTATAAAATGAGTAATAGCAAAGCACGCTCGGTGGTTTTACCTTTTCTACAAGACAACTGTTTCTCGAAGTGGTTTCCAAGAGATTCGGATGTCAAAAAATCCGTTTGAATGATTCTTTGATACGACTAAAGACAGGAAGTTCTCAAAGATTTTTCATTTTATTTTTTGGATTAATATCTTTATATAATAAATAAAATTTTCAATTTGTCTTTATAAAAAAAGTATCTAATCTGATTATATATTTTGAATTTGTTTCTAATCTATTTTTCTGATTAAAATTTTCAATTAAATTTTCAAAAATCAATTTTCAAAAATCAATTTTTTTATTAATAAATATAAATCACTCATGTCAAATAATAAAAATAATTTTATCAAATCATATACATAATTTGATTTAATTTATACATAATTTGATTTAATTTAGTCAAAAATTTTAACTAAAATGATAAATTAGAAACCAATTTAAAAGATTACAATAGATTAAAAAATAATTTTAGAAATATATTAAAAATTTAATCTATTATGTAAAAAAAAAGTAAGGGTATGTATTAATTCTTATTTTGACAGGTTTTAGAAAGACGACCTTTGTGAATAGAGATATTAATGGATGGATAACCGATCTATTAATTCAATTTTTTAATATGTTTTATACTCGTTTTATATTTGATCTATTTTTATCCCTAATTCAATTTTTTTAATATGTTTTATACTCGTTTTATATTTGATCTATTTTCATCCCTACTTGTAACCCTATAACCTAAAATAGTTTCACTTTGATCCTTCCGACTAAAATATCCCAACCATTTAGAAGC